GGTGCCAGCACCGGGGATCGAACTCAGGTTGCTCGAGTATATTTTAATTAAAGGTGAGCGCCCGGACACTGAGCTATCACGGCTCTATAAACCCAACCAGACGAGAAAACAAATGAATATACAAACAAAACCTAAAAGTTTAAATGATAGGTACAATGGGCGGCCTTATTACTAAAAGTAATTTCTTCCAGGCAACCTTTGGATGGATTGGAATAAATTAAGGAATAAAAGGTTTGGGTTAATTTAATGGAGGAATTATGTAATATTATATAGTAATTACTTATGTAGTCTTTGTTCACGGTTTCAAAATCTCAGGGGCATGCTGTAATAAGTTTTTATTTTATTCGTATTTTTTTTTTCGTATTTTTACCTCATTTTATATACGTACAGCGTGGAATGATAGTCACATCACATCTTCTGAGACACGAATAAATATAATTAATAGCCAGATTTGAGACAACCTCTGTGCGTTACAATTCTAGGCGTGAATTGAATATACGACCCTCTTAGTCGGGAAGCCAATAACGTAGAAAATGCACCAACTCATCGGCCTTGAACTGGACCATTCTCTTTAAAGCAGGGTGGGTCATATTCCAGTAGAACTCCAGGTTTAGTCGAAGAGTGCGGGGTGAGTAATCGGATGGCAAGCTATCTATCAACGTCTGGTAACTATTTTATCGTTTCGCGCTATCCAACGCAGATGGCGCGCTGACGTATTGAACGGGTACGGTATGCCTACATCCATATTTTTTTCAAAGGTTTTTCAATAGCCAGCAACGTTTAAGAGTAGCTTCTGGTGACCTTAATTAACCTTGTTAAGATCTAGAACACAATGAAAGTATTTATTTTTATTTCAAATTATAACTTTCAAATTTCTTATGAACGTCAACTCAGGCACAAAATAATTAAATTAAATCTGTTCAAAGAAAAAACAGCAAGAAACTTTATGTGGTGCTGTTTTTATGAAAATAAGTTTTTCCATACATGTTATTGTTGTTCTGCTCAGAATGGTCAAATCCAAATGCATCACATGGCATCAATGTCATTGTTAATAAAAAATTTAGGTCTTGATTTATATGAACAATAATAAAACATATATCAAACATGTGATAGTGGACTTATTATTTTATCCCATAGATTAAAATATGTTAAGCGAATAATATGTTTTACAAAAAGTGAAGTGAAAATCAATGGCGTTCACGCATTATACGGGTAACAGTGTTTACATAGATATATCACAAGCACTGCATTTTGTGGTAGAAACAAAAAACGACTTTGCCCATGGATTCAGACAAGACCACATAAAGTAGAAAAGGCACAAGTTTCCTTCGTTACCTCATTCAGCCGCGTTCAAATTGATCTCACCCTTTCACGTAAGCCTTCGTAATTGCGATACGCGAACAATGCCGATACCGCGCAGCCCGATACGATGACCGGGAATTTCGCGGCTTAAACCGGCCACCTGTCAATTTGTCCGTCTCATGAATTTATGCATGAGCGTCGGCGGTACATCGACCAAAAAGTGTGGTCGCCTCTCACATGTAAAGGCTCGACGGGAGCGTAAACCGTACAAAACGCGACACACGCACGGCGAACTCGTCGTCTAACTGTTAACTGTCACATTAAAACCGACGGTTACATTGGATAGGGTTAAGTTTTGTTTCATGTGAGAAGGTGGCAAGTGGACTGGCAGCCTTTTAATAACGTGGGTTTTACTTAAGCCGGTTTCTTAGTAAATCTCTTTTATGTATCTATATTATTAACGAATGGCCGTATGGGATTGTATCGAATTTAATTTTGATTATGAGTCTCGAAGTAACGTAGGTAATTTCTAGGTTTAACTTCTTAACCAGTTTAAGTAGGCATGTCATACAAGTAACTCATCTAGAAATGACTAATATCAAACGGCAACATTTTGATAACACTTTAAGCAAATTTTGATTTTTTCGTATATTTTTACATGTAAATTGTTTTCATAATTATTGTGATTTTAAGAACAATTAAGATTAAATTAAGGTTATAAATTGACCTTAATAAGATAGAGAGAAATGGGATCAGCTTATTAAGCATCAGAAGACAACAAACTTAAAGAATCGACCCGTTGTAGATGCTCCTTATACAAGTTATTAAGATTAGAACACATGATCTGATCGCAAGTTGATGCGCAAGAAGGTTACAATATCCATATGTATTGGATATATCTTTTAGTTTCTTAAATGAAACTTACGAAACGTTATACTGATTGCTATATTACATACTAGCTTTTCGCCCGCGGCTTTGCTCGCGTTGAAGGCGTCAAATAAATATCTATCCCCTTTAAGCACCCTTTATAACCCTTTCTCCAATAAAAAAAATTGCCTATGTCCTTTCTCAGGCTCTAGACTATCTGTGTACCAAATTTCATTTAAATCGGTTCAGTAGTTTTGCGTGAAAGCAAGACAGACAGACAATCAGAGTTACTTTCGCATTTATAATATTAGTATGGATTACTGCGTCGAGGGTCTTTACCTGTTTCTCCTACCCACATAATACACAGAATCTTTCTCAAAGACCATATGCATACGGCAAGTCTTCTGTGTATTGTGTAAAAACCCACGCGCAGCATTCACCGTTTACTATTAGGTCTCCATCCGTCTACTGAAAGAAAATGGTCCATCCCTCTATTGAAAGAAAATCTCTCTAATCAAGAAGAAATCCATGTTAGTAGATATTTTCACGTTTTGATATCGAACATATGCCCCACTATGCCGACAGCAATCAGCTGACAACTTCAGCGACCGTCCAGCGGCTACAATTAGCATTTATAGTTCTCGTGAATACTCCGTTCTATTAGCGAGCCCTGGTACCGCAGAGGCGGAATGGTCGCTTATAATTAAATTTCTCTCAGTCAAACTGTGTTTGTGCCCGTTTACTTGCTTTGCGCGGGAAAATTGTTGATTGCGTCATCAAGCTCCCATTTATTGCTTATACCATAAGGAAACATTAATTGTATGTTACTAAAGCAAGTTTTCAAAGTTATTTACTCAAGTGTCAACGAGTCGTTGTTAACTGTTTGTTAATCTTATACTGATAAGCGTAAGGACACATTGTGTACTTCTTTGTTCTTCAAGCCGTCGGTGTGGACCGTCATGCGCTACCCTACACGATGCAACGTTATATACCAAAGGACACAAATTTCATCCTCATTTTTTTGATATCGTCGGAGTAACAAGCCAATTGTTAGATCCCTGCGCTTCAGTGTACTTTGTTAAATTTACAATGTCTAAAGATACACGAATTATTCAGGTGCTAAGTTACATAGGAGGCACGCAAATCCATATGGATGGAAAACTAGCCGTAAATATGAAAGTTCTTTTTCTACAAATATGATTTAATATATTTAATTAATTGTAATATCTAATATATGAAATTCTCGTGTCACGGTGTTTGTAATTGAGCTCCTCCGAAACGGCTCGAACCTCGGAAATACATACAACCCTAAATAATATATTAAATAATATTAATAAATTTTCACCCCTCTAAGCAGACGTAGTCGTGGGCAGCAGCTAGTAGATATATAAAATGGAGAATAAGAAAGGATTAGAAAACCCTAAATGAACCCCAATTAAATCTGAAGGTAGAAACTTAAACTTTATATTTCAGAGAAATAACCAGTGTCCAATTTTCACATTTGTTCTAAAAGTCGCCATGTTCTTGAAAACTCCACTATCACGTTTATGATAATATATTTGAAACAGAAATTGAAGGCAAAATTTATTACACTTTAATAAATGAAAAAGTAAACCATCGCAATGAAATAACAATAGCTGCATCGGTTAAAAAACATCAGCAATCAAAGCCGAGCGACCGGTCACAATTCGAAACGTCGATTACAATGTACTGGATTGTTCCGCTGAAAAATTACAAAGCTGCGTCGATTGGCGCGACATGCATTGTAATTTAGGCGCGTCGGTAATAGCCGATGCGTATCGAAATGCCCCTGATTAGACACTATCGGAAATATTTTATGAACACCCCCTCTTAGATTGGTCGTCCAAATTATTAAAATATGTAGATGGTCGTCCAAATGATAATGATTTCGTATTGTCGTCCTGAAGTACGGCTTCCGTAATCTGCTCAAGTGGTATAGTGATTTCATGTATTTACGCGAATACGTAAAAGGAACGGGCTTAGTAATAAAATGTATCAACATATTTTTTAATGCGTGGCTTAAAACTACTGCAGCACCATTAATAATAAGTAAATAAATCAATAAATCGATAAGTAACGGGGCAGGCTACAGTGTTTAAACATATCTTGAAATTTTGCAATAACGTAACATAATTATTAACTGTCTTTATATCGGTAATTAGTGATTAATATAGAAGAATTATTCAAATTATCTTTCCAAGACTCTGAAGGAGGAGGGACTCGTTAAGGGAGGCTCTTAACGAGTAGTTATTATAATTTGTAAAGTAATTCAATACATTATTTTTCTCTCAAATGTCTTTACTCTTCTGCCCAAGAAATTCAAAATTCTTGCAAGAAACGAAAAGAAATTAAAACAAGCGGGTTCTAATAATTTAGAAAAAGGAATTAATTTGAGAAATCAGTAACTTACAAATTTTTTTATTTTTTGTTTTCTAAAATTACCTCGAAAGCACACAGAAAAACTCAAAAAAACTCGCTTGATTGAAAAAAATTGATCACACAATGAACCAAGCCTGTGCTTTAACGTGTTTTATTGATGACCACAGGAAATAGCTTTATCATTTGATTCGCCGAATATGTGTATATACTATATAATATGTCGTTACATAAAATATCGAAATTCGACCAGTATTTAAGACAGGATGACACCTGTAAAGTGTTAATGCCGTCAGCTTTGTATAACACGTATATAAAAACACAGACAAAAAAGTCCTAAACTCAAACAACTCATTAAATTCTCCACTGGCTGCGTAAAGGTTTAATTGGATAGAAAAATAATTTTGGTGCCACATTTGTATCCAAACCCATTAATGGCCGACTGTTCTCCTACACCCTCACCACTAGTCGTTCGAAACCAAACGTCCGAATTAGCCGGCGATTGTCCCAGCGACGGGCGCACCGTTGACATCGCAGGTGGCGCCCCGCGGCGCGCTAAATTAAATGACAAATTATTTTCCCACGCAGCCTGCGCCCTCGCTATTAATAAGCCCGACCGCAAGCCCGCTCCGAATTGGCGGCGAGGCCCGTGAATTTCGGCCGGGCGCGCTGCCTAAAAACCGACGGACTCAAATTTTTTTTGGACTTCACACGAGCAAAAATCAATGCACGAACACTTAAGTTATTTTTATTATTCTTCTTTTTGTGTGAAAAGTTGTCATGTGAGCCCATGTGCATCTACAAACCCGAGAACTATGCAGATGCATTGAAGACCTCTAAAAAATTGAGCCCCTAAGCCACCACACACACGAAACGCAAAAGTATAATACTTCCACATCACGCCGATCTTTAAAGTTATTTCGTAGCCCTACCACAGTAATCCAATTAGTTAGCCACAGCGAACGCTAAGTAACTCCGTGCACACATATATAAGTAAGTAACGCCACTAATGGAGCCTGAGACCAAGACCTCTGGTGGGCGGAAGGCGGCTCCTTGTCAGCACTGGCTCTCCTGGCTCCCATGGCCTCTGCGTTTCCGTGCCAATATATCATCGTAATGGTTAATTTTAATAGTAAATAACTGTAGCTGGCACTAGTAGTCTGATGCCAACTTTTAAGACGGTGGTTGAATTAATGTGCTGCCAACGTTTAAGTTTCAATCGTGATATCATCACGTGCATTCGAAGACGTGTTAACTACGAACATCCACAAATGGACTTGCAGTCTATCGAATATTAGAAATAACATGCATTTTATTGATTAACTTTTTAACAGTTAGTGTCTTTTTAACAGTTAGTATCAATCTGTGGTTAATTTGGACTTGTATCTGCGTCGAAAGGGAAACTTTTACCGCTAAAATCAATCTCGCGAAGGTCAAAGCGGTCAAGCTTGAATCACTGATAATTAATATGCGCAAACACGACATCCCATACAAGATCTGTCCGTCTGTCATTAGCATCAACTTGATAAATGAATCGACTAGACAGTTCCCAGCATTTGATAGATGCGGCGCATCTTGTGATCGAATCATATCTTGTGTGGCGCGATTAGCTTTTGTGGAATTTGCGGCCGCGATAATAGTGCGACCCTTTACCTTGTTATTTATTAATTAGGGACCCATTATTAAACTGTTAATTACTTGAGTTTTAATTAGATTGGTGTGTGATTCTGACAATTCTTCAGTCCAGAAAGCGAATTTTGCTCGAGTTGACTACACCAGAAAAGCGTAATTACCTCACCCCCTGCTTGAATGAAGTGGAAAGTTGAGGGTTTAAACATAAAACAAACGGAGATAAATTCCGAGAAATAGTTTCATTTAACATTGTATTTAAGGTAATTGTTATGACTTTCCAATAATAATATAATAAATTTCGACAGCGCATATATAAATATCTCTAGGCATGTTAACAAATAAACTGATATCAAAAATGTACGTGTCCTAATAGATACGATTAAATAATAACATTGGATAAAGACTTACATAAGTTTAGTTCACAGCGAAACACAAGTTTATTCAGCCATTTTATTTATTTATTAATGAAAACTATTTTAGCGGCTATGTGGATACCGACAAATTTAATTGTGGCTACACTACGAAATGGTTCGTAACGTAACAATCTAATAACATCAAGGGAAAATTACAATTTTAGGTAGATTGTTTATTGTGGCATAATTTGACCAGAGGCGAATTAAAACTATTGCGTTTGAGTGTTCTCATGGAAGGATATAATTATAAACGGAAACGTACAAGGTAAAAATTTATCGGCTTATAAATTTTTTGGACTACGTTTTCAAGACAGCTATATATAGCAAGCTTCTGTTTATATATTTAAAACAACATTTGCTGCGAAACTATAGTAAAATAACTATACCTATAAATGTCCCACGGCTGGGCAAAGGCCTCCCCTGTACAAAGGGTATTACGGCATAGTCCACCACTGTGGGTTGGTGGACTTCAAATATCTTCGAAATATTTTTTTTGTTATTATTTCGAACATATGCAGGTTTCCTCACGATGATTTCCTTCACCGCTGAGCACGTGATAAGTCAGCACTTAAAATTAACAATTTTATTAGTGCCGGCACCGTGTATCGAACTCAAGTTGCTCGCGTGTATTAAATTAAAGGCGAACGCCCGGACACTGAGCTATCACGGCTATGCGAAACTATATTTAAACACTCAAATATTTTATAACTATTGGAGTTCAGATCCAATGTCTTTATGTTAAATCTATATTATAAAGAGGAAAGATTTGATTGTTTGTATGTATTGAATAGGCTCCGAAACTACTGAACCGATTTGAAAAATTCTTCCACTGTTGGGAAGCTACATTATCTCCGTATGACATAGGCTATATCATATTTTCAAAAAACTAGGGATCCTTACTAAAACTTCAATAATTTTACCCAAAGTGTACAAAAATTACCTAAAATATTCGTTACATCGCGTGCGCTGCGAAAACTATTGATGATAGAATAAAGTAATGTACTACGACTTTGCAGAACACATTATTATTTACAAAAAGTGTCGTGACAGGATATGTCTAACTATTACAGTTAAGCCACAATAAGTGTTATTTTATTTTAAAATTTTGATTGAAATGCCGCCGCTAGAAAAGCCTCTTTATATGTATCGTGGTCTTAATACTTTTAAAAATAAATTACTTCATATTTAAGACTGTTTCAATATGTTTATATAACTTTTGAATAATATTTGAAAAATTTTGAATTATTCAATTCGGACATTCCATTCGAAAGAATCAGAAGTTTAAAAATGTTAGTATTTTGTAATTTAACTATCCAAACAGCTTAGTGACTGACTTAGTAGTTCTTACACATTTATAGTGGTAATTCCTGTTCAACATTTTAATTTATTTTATCATTTTAAATTGCCCAAAAGGTCAAGATCTCATCTTTCTAGAAATAGTTCCTAGGCGAGGGCATCAAAAATACGTCGTAATGTCAAATCTTTACCGAAAATCGTCTTACAAGTCGGAGAGAGTCAAGTAGAGTGTTTGCAGCAGATTGAAGAGCAAAATAATATAAATATACAAATTCACAGTAGGGAATCGATCTCTGAGCGTTCCCAACGCCTACGACGTTAGAGAGAAAGACAACAAACGTCAACGACTAGAGTTCGTAATCGAGTTTTAGCTCACAGTAACACATCAGCTTTCTTGCATTATGCTCAACAGTCTTCCGTCCAAATCGGGGCCACGAATAAGATTTGCTCTAAGTGCTGCCAAAAATGGGTCGATGAACCAAATGGTATGTGCTGTGCTTCTGGAAAAGTTAGTCTCCCCAATATTGAGGAGCCGCCATAGCCAATAATAATTTTTTAACAAATAATCATTCACCATCTGGTCATTTTTAACCACCATTCCAAAGAACAATAGCCTCTTTCAAAAGACATGGTTTGACGCGAACTTTTAAAATAGGCGGACAAGTATTCAAGTCATCATCATCCTCCTGCCCCTATCCCACCTAGGTGGGGTCGGCACAACATGAATCATGTTGTAAGCGGTTTTGGCTATATTTTTAAAACCAGCCGCCTGCCTGGTGTCAACCCTCCTTGAGAAAGCACTCAGATCAAATTTCAACTGTGTAACTATCACGGTTCATGAGATACAGCCTGTTGACAGAGGGACAGACAGACAGCAGAGTCTTAGTAATAAGGTCCCGTTTACCCTTTGGGTACGGAACCCTAACGTCTGTCCGTATGTCTGTCCATATGTCACCAAGCTGTATCTCATGAACCGTGATAGTTAGACAGTTGAAATTTTCAGAAACGTTGTATTTATGTTGCCGTTATAACAACAAATACTAAAAAACACAAAAATATAAATAAGTTTGGCTCCCATAAAATAGACATTTTTGCCGTTTTTATAGATAATGTTGACAGTAGTAGTGGTTTTTTGGACAATAAGTAAGTGTAATACTTCTGTAATGAATGAAGATATTTAAATTTGATTTTTTTTATGTGATAAAGTGGCAAACGAGCTGGCGATTCACCTGATGTTAAGTGATAACCACCACCCATGGACATTTGCAACAGCTGTAGGGTTGCAAATGCGTTGACATCTTTAAATAAAGTGGGCCCTGGTACCTCACCAGACGAAACGCAGAAGTATAACACTTCAACTTTACGCCGGTCTTCTGTGAGATCTTGGTACTTACCCGGACGGACCTGCCAATTCGTGCAACAGTGAACACTGTTGCGTGACCCTACCAGAGTGAAATTACTACCAAGTTGAATGGTAACGGTGGCCTTTGTGTGCGAGTCCGACTCGCACTTGGCCGGTTTTTATTCAATACATTGTCGATATGTTGGCAAAAATTATATCAGAAAGATTGAATTACATATTATGTCGTAATTACCAGATACTGAGGGCTGGTGAAACATTCATCTTAGAGACGCTTTAAATCAAGACATTGACCCATCAAATATCGGTCAACGCGTAATCTGCAACGTCATATTCATTTGCAGGTTCTCCGAGTTATCTTCATTAAAAACGCAAGATGCGATGATTTATATCCGAAGCTATGGGAGACCAGACTTATTTGTCACTTTTACGTGTAACCCCGAATGCCCCTTAAATTAAAACGGAACTATTATCTGGTCAGCGGTCTTTCAATATCCATGACGTAATTTCAAGAGTATTTCAGTAAAAGATGAAGAAATTCATAAAATTATTCACCAAAGACGAAATATTCGGATGATTTTATTTGTGTCTATGATCACTTTTATTTTTAAAATTTTTCTTAAATACCCGTGCGAAGCCGGGGCGGGCCGCTAGTATTTTATAAAACGAATTGGCAAATAAAACCCTACCGTCGATTCAAAAAAATTCACATCAAACGCGACTTCAAAATTGCATAGAGGAGTCATCGTTATAATTTGCTTAATAATAACAACCGTCAAGCAAAAATAAACCTTATACGTAGGGAACAGTACTCCGATTCAATATTTAAAGGACGCGGAAACGTCGCAGAAATGTCACGTCTTTTAGTTGTGGCCGCAATAAAAAATATAATAAAAATGGAGAGTCGTCGATGTAAAAAGTTGCTGTAAAGCTTTTAATTTAAAGTTGA